GCTTTCTGAGGAAGGAGGTTTCTAGACCGTGTGCAATTGTTTCGTAGAAGTTAGCCAGTATTTGACCACGGAAAGGAGGAGCAGTGCAGATGGCATGCAGAGAACAACATGCTGGCTCATTAGGTAGGCTGGAAAGGTATCTGGGGCGTGGAGCTGGGGCTGCTAGGAAGAGATCAAACAAGTGTAGAAGATAAATAGGGACCAGAGCAGCTAAGGTCTAATAAATAAGCCCCATAAGGAGCTTGACTTTATCCTGGGGGCAACAGGGACTAACAGTTTCTTTTCAAGTGGGCTTTGTGATGATCTGTCATGCTCATTAGAGGAAGAGTCTGCTGCTTCCACAGGACAGCAGGGAAGGGAGCTAGCAAAAACAGACCGTGGCTGACAGCAAATATTAGCAGCCTGGACTAGTTCTATGAGACTAGTTATGGGAAGCCAGGTAGAACAGCCCTGAGACCTTGCTTCTAGTAAAGCTAATATGGCCCAAGCCCCAGTCTCTAGGAGGTATACCTCTCCCTGAAGCAAGTGAGATCCTTTTGGAAGTTGCATTAAGTCCCTGAGGCCACTGGGGTGCCATTAAAGTCCTGCTTCGGCACACTGAGTGGAATGGAATCTTACCCTGTAAATGAGTATAACTGATGTTGGCTTCTAGCTAGTGCATAGTCCTAGAAATAGCATATGTCTGGAAAGTCACTTGGGTACCATTTGGAGTAGTGAACTGTGATTTACTTGGCCCTACCCTAGTGGCCTGTATGTGCCAATATAGCTTCCATGGTCTTTTCTACTTTGTTCCAGCGTATAACTTATGGAATGAAAATATCCATTTAAAAATATATTTTCTATATCTTATTCATTTTCTTGGTGAGTGGGGATTATGGGGTTTAGTATTTATTGCCCAAAAATGTGTCATTTAACTGAAAGTAGCAAGTCATAACCCAAAAATGAACAGTTTAAATTAAAGTTAGAGGTCATAACCCAAAGCATTTTTTCTTATCGACTATATATAATAGCTGAAGTTGAGAAAAGTGTACTTTTATACAGAAGAAATTTAGATTAGGTTCAGAAGGAATTTTTAAGTGCCTAATATTTTTATCTTTCTTTGTATATCACTATCATCATTAATTACTTGTTCTCTGATGTACAAATATAGAAGGAATCCAACCCATGGGATTCGGTGTTTAAAAAAACAAAATAAGATGGGTGTAATGGTGCACACTTTAATCCTAGCATTTGAGAGGCAGAAACAGGCAGATTTATAAGTCTGAGGCCATCCTGGTATGCATAGTAAGTTCCAGGCCAGCCAGGGCTATATAGAGAGGCCCTGTGTCAGGAACAAAAAAAAAGCAAAATAAAACTGACATCATCATATTAAGTCCTGTGTGGCCACAGTCTATGTGACAACCATCCTTTTATTCCCACAGAATCATCAGTTATGAACCCAACACTTGCTATTTAATGAGTATATGATTATCCTATGCAAATGAACAGTAATGTTGGTGGTTGTTTCTTGAAACAACATTGTTTGGAGGATTAATAGTGTGAAAAAGTTCCTTAGCCAAGAGTGGTTTTCTGGAGACTTGGAAGAATGGCTGTTTCTAAAATGTGCAATAGAAGGAACCTCAAACATTAGTCTGTGTGATGAGTCCATTTGGAGCTACCCTAGGAAATATTTTCCTCAGTTAATAAAAACAAACAAAATAATTGAATCTAGCTTTTAAAGTTCATCCTTAATAACTAAGAAAAGAATTTCCAATATGCAAAGAGATTAAGTATTTTTCTCATTTGGAAAACTAAAAAGAGGGAAAGATGCATAAATACATTGGAAAATTTTGTAAGTGTGTGATGGGATAAGCACTAATAATGCCTACCTTCTCTATGTATGGGAGGCGGGTCATTGTACTTTCTGAAATACTACTTCACACTATTTTTAAGAGCCCCTTTAAGCAGGATTTCAAGATGAGGAAATTATATTTTAGAGTAGTTAGGCGACCTAATCAGAGTCCAGGCAGCTCTTGATTTATGCATCAAAAACACTAACCTGGCCTGGGAGGTGGCTCTGTCCAACACTCCTAGCAAGCATGAGCTCCCAAATTTGAATCCCCAGAACCCAGGTAAAACATCAGCAAGGTGGTATGCTCTTGTCATCCCAGTGATGATGAGTTTGGAAGCCAAGACAGGGGACCCTCCAGCTTGCTCCGCAACTAGCCTGGCCTAACTGGCAAAGTTCCACCACAACCCTGCCTCAAGCCAAGGTTGTGAGATGCCTGAGGAACGACACTTGAGGTCATTCTCTGACCTCTGTGTACATACCTGTCTGCCTGCACATCCCTAAATAACACCCATACAACTGTGTTTTCTGATTGTTAAACCAATATTTAAATTTTTAGTGCTAAGTATATAATTGGAGAAGCAACCCCTGTGTGTTAGTCATGCATCTACTTGTAAGCAGTGAGCTTTCTCACATTGAAGACTCTCCTTGATCAGCCTGCACATTTTTTTGTTTAGCCACTAATTTGTTATACAATATATTCTCCCAAAATTGCTTTTGTTTTTTATCCTATAAATAAGACAGTACAAAATTTAGAAATGTACATTGGCTTCATAGATATACCATGACAGTGATTAAATGCTTCAGAGATAACATCCTTTTTTTCTCCATTTTTTAAAATTTAAATTAGAAACAAGATTGTTTTACATGTCAATCCCAGTTCCCCATCCCTCTCCTACACCCCTGTCCCCTCATTAACACCCTACCTATCCCAATACCATTTCTGCTCCCCAGGGAGAGTGAGGTCTTCCTTAGGGGGTCTTTAGAGTCTGTCATATCCTTTGGGATAGGCCCTAGGCCCTCCCCCATGTGTCTAGGCTGAAGGAGTATCCCTCTATGTGAAATTGGATCCCAAAGTCCATTCTTATGCTAGGGATAAGTACTGATCTACTACAAGAGGCCCCATAGATTTCTGAGGCCGCCTCACTGACACCCACATTCATGGGTTCTGGATCAGTTCCATGTTGGTTTCCCAGTGATCAGTCTGGGGGCCAAGAGCTCCCACTTGTTCAGGTCAGCTGTTTCTGTGGGTTTCACTAGCCTGGTCTTGACCCCTTTGCTCCTCCTTCTCTGCAACTGGAATCCAGATCACTTCAGTGTTTAGCTGTGACTCTTTGCTTCTACTTCCATCAGCTGATGGATGAAGGATCTAGGATGGCATATAAGTCAGTCATCAATCTCATTATCAGGGGTGGGCATTTAAGGTAGCCTCTCCTCTGTTGCTTAGATGGTTAGTTGGTGTCATCCTTGTAGATCTCTGGCCAATTCCCTATTGTCTGATTTGTCTTTAAACCTATACTGGCTCCCTCTCCGATGGTATATCTTATTTTGCTCTCCTCTATTCCTCCTACCCAACCTTCCTGATTCTTTATGTCCTCTTAAACTTTTTTTAAAAATAGTTATAATATGTGTATGTGTGTGGATGGATGTGAACCACAGCCCACATGAGGAAGTAAAATGACAAATCACCTAAGTCAGGTCTATCTTTTACCATGTGGTCAGGGGGACCGAACTCTGGTCAATAGGCTTGGCAGCAAGTGCCTTTACCTGCTGAGTCACCTCGACAGCCCAGTTTTGTACTCATTGACATGCTTATGCTTTCTAAAGTATTTAAACACAGAATAATTAAAAGTATTTTTGTTGTTTCATTTTGTACTTTTATAAAACAACATGAAAGAAATCTCATGTGGACAATACCACTAACCATCTTTAGTCAGTTGCATGGAGGCCCACTTGAAGGGTGGGGATGCTCTGTTTCCTTGTTAGAAGCACCTGTGATGAGTGTCTTTGCTAATGAGCTCCCTAAATAAACTCCTCATTTTTTCCCTAGAGTAAGTTCTTGGCAGTAAAGTTCTGTGTATTGCAGTGTATAACACATATTTTAAAACACACAGTTGTTCATTTCTGAGCTTGATCATTCTAGAAATTTAGAAATGCCTGCTAGTGAGATCTTCTAAAGTTGTGTTTTTGTTTGGCACAGCTCAGCAGCGGCATAGTGGATGATGTAAGGGAGGGATTCTGGTGTGACTGCACAGTGCCTACTGTTTATTGTGGAACAATGTGGGCAGCCAACACAGACAGGGCTGCTGTCCACCACACCTGTGACACATAATTCTTCCTCTTTAATCTTGGTAGTAAGAATCGAAAGTGCTGCCATTTATTCTCCCATGAAATAAAATGAGAGCCAACTCAAACCCCATCATAATAGCCTCCATAAATAAGGACATCAGGCAGCATTTTAAGTCCTTGGAAGTAGCAATACCGTTTCTGAACTATCAAGAACCTTAATGTTCAGCTAATACAATCACTTTATTTTATTGTAAGGAGGGAGAACAGATGTTTGTAAAAATTCAGTAAGGAAAAGAACTAGTGGGGGTGGAAAAGGATCCAGGGAAGAAAATACTCCAATTATGTTTTGCATATTTCTTGAAAAGACATGAAGAGAGTGTGTTTTGTAGACTAACATGGGAAAACTCATTGGCTGGTATTTTCACACAAATGCATACCTTTGACGTTAGTTTTTTCCTACATTATTCATGCACTCTGAAATTTCATCTTCTTTACTATAACATAGTACAAATTGAAATGATGGTTAACTATTTTTTGAATATTTAATTTTTAAGTTTGTACGGTGTATTGTATGTGTGTGTGTGTGTGTGTGTGTGTGTGTGTGTGTGTGTGTGTGTGCTGCTTCCAGAGGAGACCAGAAGTTTTGGATCCCCTGAAGCTGAGTTACTGATGTGGGTGCTGGAAACTGAATTTGGGTACTATGGAAGAGCAGCAAATACTTAACCATTTCTCCATCCCCTAAAATGGTCAAATAAGATGTTATTCATGAAGGTGGGTTCCAATATAAAAGATTATGCTGACTCCATCACTGCCTTATGGAAATGACATTCTCCTATGTCACTGCGTATGTCACTGAGCCAGCTGTCTTTCCACTCTGTTCCAGGTAGCAGTTTTACTACATCATCAGGATTATATGCAGGAAATAATTCGCTCACCAATTCCTCTGGATTTAACAGTTCACAGCAGGTAATTTAATTAGGGAATTCAATTTCTGAAACATTTCAGAAAACAGCATGACTTTATATAAAGAAAGAATTGTTTGTGTTAAACCGTGAGAGCTTTCTTAAGCTTTTTAATCATTTCTTTATACAATCTCTATAGCTGTCATTTATGGTGAGTCTACGGTTGTCAGATGGTTTTGTTTTGTTTATAGAATGTCTATGCCATTCTGTGGCATAGAATGGAAGCTCTGAAAAATACCTACATCCTTGCCTAGCATTTGCTTGCAAGTCTAAGCTCATGAGTGAATACACACTTGCTTATATGAGTTCAAGAAGGACATATAAACAAGCATTTATTATTCTGCAATGCAGGAAGTGAACAGCAATGCTTTCCCTGACAATGCTTTCTCCTGTGCTTTGATTTGGTAGGACTATCCATCTTATCCCGGCTTTGGCCAGGGTCAGTATGCCCAGTATTATAACAGCTCCCCGTATCCAGCACACTACATGACAAGCAGTAACGCTAGCCCAACGACACCATCGACCAATGCCACTTACCAGCTCCAAGAACCACCTTCTGGCTTCACGAGTCAGGCAGTCACAGACCCCACAGCAGGTAATTGTGTGTTTTACTTGGTTCTGCTCGATTCTTAAGCTTAACTGCATTTTCCTGAGGTCATTAACTCAGGCAGTGGGTTGCACCCTTTCGGTAAATTTTCATAACTACTTAACTACTTTGGACTGCACAATTGTTGCACCCCTTTTATTATTGTTTATTTGTTTGAAAATTTTAATATAAGATGTAAACTTCTCAAACACATGAGAGATTTATTAATTTATTTGACAATATTCTCAGTTTTCATGGTCTAGTGTACATAGTCCACAGCCTTTAGGAATATACTTAGAAATAAGATTATTATTATTGATAAATAGACATAAGACTAATTTAATACCATATATGGAATATCCAAATGAATTATAATATTTAGAATTTAATAGTTTTATCATTGCAGTTTTTTCAATGATAGCAGCGCATTATTGACAGTTAAAAAAAAAAGAAGAAGAAAAAGAAGAAGAAAATTTTCAAATAATACCAAAGGGGAATTGTCCAGACCAAAAGCCCGGCCCATCCTTCCCCTCCCATGACATATTGGGGATTGTGTAACAGTGTGTCTGTTGTGGACATTTTTCATACTTCTGCCCAAGGCCTTGCATACAAGTGCTTCTCCATCTGTGGATATTTTCTACACTGTCTTTTTACTTTCTTTGCCTCCACAGGTTTGCTCTTTTGGGGACAAATAACCCTCATGTATTATATGTTTACCTGTCTCAATTAATCTTCTATTTCTTGCATTTTCTCTCAAACCTCTAAGCCCACTGACTTAACTTTAGAGATTGTAGCCCTTCATTTCATGGCTTATGAGCCCAGCTGTTATTCTCACATAGTAAGAGATTTTCCTGCTGCCTACAGAAGGAATTCAAAGAGTCCCTTCAGTGTTTGGGGGCAGTAACTTGCCTCTCTTCCTACCCTGAATGAAAAAAGGAACTTTAATGGTAAAAATTCATAAACATTAAATGAAAGAATTAGAATAGCTTATGAAATATTATCTGGTGGCTTTGAGAAAGAAATAAGTATTGACATTAACAAAGGTATACGTTTATCAAAATCATTTCAGGTGTTCTTTCCTTCTAAATTATATAGTCTACTGGGTTAAAGTCAGCATTCTGTAATCCTGGAAAGCTATATATAGTGTAGCTTCTACCTGGTGTTGTATGTCACTAGACCTTTCTATATTATTACATGCATGTGGTCCTCCTCACAACCAACATATCTGTTTTTGCCTTGTTCGTTGAAATTTTGTTGGACTGAAAACAGAAAGATAACTGGCACGGTTTCTTTTTTAGTAGGGGGAATTTATAGTGGCCAATTTATTTTACACTATGCATTTAATAATATTTTTATTCTTTGAAAATCTCACAATATGCTGTTATTGTATTCACCCCAACCCTTCTCAGATCCATCTCCATCTCTCCACCCACCCAACCTCATGTTCTCTAACTCTGCCATCTCTACCTTTCCCTGTATTTCTCTCTCTTTAAGCCCTGCAAGCACAGTTTGTATTCCCCAAATACTCTTGGGGGTAGCCTGGAGCATGGTGGACCTACTAGAAGTCATAGATTTAACTGAAGCTGATTCTCCCTCTCCAGGAGCTATCCAATGTTAATAGCTCCTTAGCTAAGGGTGAGGCTTTGTGCCCACTTCTCTCAGCTCCAGGGTAGTATTTGGTTTAGCTTGACATTGTTCAGGTATTGTGAATATTGTCACAATTGCTGTGAATTCATCTGTTGTGTGCCCTGTTGTGTCTGGAAAATACTATTTCCTTGTAGTCATCCATTGCTTCTGGCTTTTACTATCTTTCTGCCTCTTCTTCTGAAGTGACCCCTATGTCTGTAGGAGATGGATGTGATACAATTGTCCCATTTAGAGCTGAATACTCTGCAGCCACTTATTCCCTATACATTGACAATCTGGGGATACAAGTGTTTGCATATTTCCAGTCATTTGGGGTAAATACTTAGAAGTATGATTCTGGATTATATGCAAAATTTGTGGTAAGTTTTGGTAGAAAACATGAAAATGCTTTCCAAGATAGCTACAATTTTTCCATTCTCACCAATGGCATTCCAGTTGCTCCACATTTAAGTCAACATTCCATGTTGTTGGTATTTTTGGAGCCATGATCATAGATTTGCAGTGGTAGCTTGTTTTCATTTGCTATTCCCTATTGGTATATGTTCCTGTGTGAAACATGTTTTCATATGACTGATCAGTGCTGTTGTCTGCTTTTAAATCATGTTGTTTTCCTACTGTTTAAATAATTCTTTATATATTTTAGTTCCAAGATTGATGGCACATACATATTTTACTAATGATTTTGTATAGTACATGGATTTCTAGTGACAATATTTTTCACAGAGACAGTTTCACTTTTTAATGAAATCTGCCTTATCAGATTTTCATAAATCACCTTTGACATTGTATCAAAAATTCATTGCCAATACCAACATGGTTAAGAATGCCGCATGTGTTATTGCCCATGCACTTTGGAGCTCCATATTAATACACTCTGAATTAGTTTTTGTGCAAGACATAGGTGAGACTGCAGATTCATTTTCCTTTACATGTAGAGATCCAGTTGTCCTGGTATCACTTATGAAAAGACTTTTCTCTGTTATCCGGCATCTGCTCCTTAGACAGACATTAGTTGACCATACTGATATGCATTTCCAGGCTCTGTACTCTCCCCTGATCCTGATTTACTCTCCAGTGTATGTTGTCTTGATTACTGTTGTTCAGCACTAAGTCCTAATGCCAGAACATGTCAGTTTTGTGATTTTACTCTTCTCCAAAATTATGTTGTCTTTTCAAAGCTTTTTGTCTTATTTAAACCTTAGAATCAGTTTGTCAATATTCATAAAGTAAATGTCTAGAGCAGTGGTTCTCAATTTCTCCAATGCTGAGAACCTTTAATACATTTCCTCATATTATGGTGACCCCAAAACATAAAATTGTTTCCATTGCTATTCCATAACTGTAATGTGCTACTGTTATGAATTGTAATGTCAATATCTGTGTTTTCTGATGGACTTAGACTTCCTCTGTAAAAAGGTCATTTGACCCCCAGAGGAGTCACAAGCCACAGTTTAAGAACTGATAGTCTAGTATTTTACTTGGAATTTTGTTGAATTTCTAGATCAACCTGGTACAAACTAGTATGTTTACATTACTGAATCTTTCTATCCATGGGCCTGGAATATCTTGGTTTTCTTTCACCTGAATGTTGTACTTTCCCTCATGCTTTTCTTCTAAATGTTTTATCTTCCCCTCTTTTCCTTCTACCTCTCTCCTGCTGACATACATGATGGTATATAAGAAAGCAATAATCTTATTTCTGTTACTTTTTATGTTTTAACCCTTTTATGATCAGCTATTTTAGAAGTTTTACTTTCCCCTCTTTATTGAAGAGGGTCATTCTTCAGTATTGACTAGGGGAATAGTTGTCATTTGTAAACTAATAGTTCATTTCTTCCATTACAACCTGTGTGTTCCTGGGTTTGCTTTGGAATAGTTAGGCTTTCCAGTAGAGCGTTGAATAGAGGTTGGAAAGGAGTTGACTTTTTCCTGTCCTTATTGTAAGAAGAAAGCATCTAGTTTTTCACTCTTTAGGTGTGAGGTTGATTGTATAATAGTATCATTTAAAAATACATTTTATAAATTCTTTAACATATTTTATTCATATTTAACCCCAGCTAACTTCTCTCCCATTTCCAACCATGGGCTTTCACCTCTCCCTGCCCCAACTATGTATTTCTTTTTAAAAAATAATCTATCAGCTTCAATTTGTGCTGTCCATATACTCCTTGCTGTGAGGCCACCCAGTGGAACGTGGGCACTATTGGTGTCTTTAGATGGCTGTTAGCAAGGAAAGAACCTTCCCTTTGATTCTACTTTTTCATGAGCGGGGCTATTGGATTTTGTCAAGTGCTTTTTCCACATCTGTTGGAATGTTTGTAACTTTTCTTCTTTAGCATATTTATGTGATGGATTGCACTTATTCCATTTTCCAGTGTTAAACCAATAACCTATAATACTCCCACTTGGTCACATTGTATAATTCTTTATATATATTCTTGGACCCAGTTGCCGATGAGAATCTTTGCATTTATATTCATGAGAGATCCTTGTCTAGAGTTTTCATATCCTGTGATGTCCTTGTCTGGTTTTAGTATTAACATAATGCTGACCTCATTGCCTAAATAGGAGCATCCATTCCCTCTGTATGCATTTTCTAGATGAGTACAGAGAATTCAAATAGTTTGTTCATTAACTATTTGATGAAATTTACTAGTGAATTGATCTGGATCTAGGGATTTCTCTTTGGATCTGTAATTAATTCACATATGTGGGTCTGTTTAAGTTATTGTCTTTATGGGAGTTTTGGCAGATTGTTTCTCTGCCAGATTGGTCCATTTCACCTAGTATACTTAATTTGTAAGCATGGGATTATTTATAATATTGTGTATTGTTTTGTTTACTTTTTTGAGACATGTAGCCCAACTGACTCCAAACTTTTGACCCCTGCCTCAACCTTAAGGGCAGTAACCATAGACATATGTGCCCTTGACTCATGATAATTTTATTGTTACTTTAATAGCTGTAAAATTTCTAGTGATGATTTTCTTCCATTTGTAGTATTAGCAGTCTTTACATCTTTGCTTTTCATCAGGGTTAGCTGGGCTGTGTGGCCAAATTGTTAACTGATCTTGTTTTAGAAAAGGAGAGGCTCTTTTGTTTCTTTCCTTCTCTTCATCTTTTTTTATAAATTTCATAGACTTCTTTAAATTTTGTTACTTTCTTATTTTTTTAATGTACTTTTGATTTGATTGGTGCTTGTATTACTGATCTCAGGCCTTCTTTCCTGGTTAGGTTTTCATATAAGTTCTGTTTTTTGATGCACCATTAAATTTCACAGGTTCTTTTTTATATTTACTCCAAAATATGTCCACATAATTTTTCATTGAAAACCTTTCAGTGAATTTATAAGAAAGAAAAAT